TAAAAAAAGTAACTAAGACATGGTCTTTGGCCAATAACTTGGCTTTTGGACACATTGATTCTCTTAACAGCCAAATGGACACAATAATCTACTTTAAAAAAAAATTTTTTTTTTTTTTGGAGAAAGGGTCTTACTATGTTGTTCAGGGCACTCTGAACGCATTATGTAACCCAGCCCAGCCTCAAACTTGTGGCAATCCTGCCTCAGACCCCCAAGTGCTGAGGATTACAGACTTGTGCCACTATGCCTAGCTCAAAACACATTTTTTTAAAATAAATACTGGAGCCAGGCATGATGGCACATGCCTGTAATCCCAGCACTCAGGAGGCTGAGGCAGAAGAATCACTGTAAATTCGAGACCACAGTCTAGGCTACATAGTGAGTTCCAGGTCAGTCTCAACTACATAGTGAGACCCTGTTTCAATAAATAAATTAATTAAATTAAATTTAAAAAGTAAAGTAAACACCAGAAGACCAGGAATGTAGCTCAGTGACACTGGGCCTGCCTGGTAAGCACACGGTCCTGAGTTCAATCCCAGTACAAAAAAAAAGTAAATATTGGAAATGATTTATTTATACTTGAAAAGGTACATTTCTAGGGCTCCACATTACACCTGGGATAGGTGGAAGGTGCTTAAATGACAACAAAGGCCCCAGAGGTGACAGTGGGCAACACCCAGATTGTGCAGCCACAGTCCCCTCACTCTGCAGCTGCATGGACATCATCTTGGAAGCCAGAAGTACATTTCCTCTGTCAATACTAAGGGCTGAACCTAAGATCTTCAGCCTAATTATACTCAAAAGTACAAAAACCTCATTTATTAATAAAATGCAAATTCAATGAAAAGTACTAATGAATTCATAAAAGGTTTTTGGCTTGTTGTTGAGACAGGGTCTTGCTGTGTAACTTAGGGGGGCTTCAAACTCACAGCGATCATCCTGCCTCAGCTTCCTGAGTGCTGGGATTACAGGCATTACTACCATGCCAGGCTGAAATCTTTTTAAAATATATTTTCTTTATCAATGAGCATAAAAAGGACACAGATATCATCACGGAAGGAAAGAATTTGGAGGCAAAACTTTTTGATGTTCACAGAAGAGAAGATAGCAACAGTTATAAGTAACACTACCAGTGACTAGCTCAGAACTCATTGAAGAATCACATCCGACCCAGTCATTCCAAATGTAGTCATACAGCATGTATTCAGATATCCCACGCCATGGTGAGTATTATAAATATACACAACTTTTACTTGTTAACTAAAATAACAATTTGAGATCCTCTGATCTGAGCAGTGACCTAGTAGTGACGGTATCTGTGAAAGACACTGTCTACAAGCTCATAATGAGCAAGATCTTCATCTCATATACGTTAGACACAAATGAAATCTGGAGATCCTTTTGGCCCCCCTTGGACAGAAATCCTCCACTCTCTCTTTTTGCAGGGAGAAGAGATAAAGAAGGAACACATTCTATTCTCTAACTTCATTAAGCAAACAATAGCTTTTAGGGTTTTTGTTGCTGTTGCTGCTGCTGTTTTAAAGACAGGCTCTCTGTGAATGCCAGGCTGTCTTCAAACTCCCAGAAATCCTGTGTGAGCCTCCCGAGTGCTGGCATTACAGGTATGCACCACCACACCTGGCCTGCCAGCAAATTTTGTTTTGTGACAAGGTCTGGCTGTGTAATCCAGGCCAACCTTGTACTCACTACATAGCCCAAGCTAGCCTTGAATTCCTGACCCTTCTGCCTCAGCCTCCTGAGTGCTAGAATTACAGGCTTGTGCCACCATGCCCCTTCCTTTGTCCTCAATTTATAAATAAGATGTATTCCTGGGAAAGAAAACAAATTTTCACTTTGTCATCTACAAAATACAACATAAATATGAAATACAGCTAAGTGTAGGAAATGAATTAGCATGTCCACGAAAGAGTTCGCAGGCCTCAGGTGGTATTTACCATGCACTAATCTAGCAAATCCACCAGTTATCATAGAAACTCCTATCACAATCAACCCACAAAAAGTCTGACATTTGTGGTAAATGTATTTGAAAACATCACCTATTTCAAAATAGAACACCTATGAAAAAAGTTCCACAATAAATAGAAACAAACACTGAGAAACAACATCAAGGAGAATGGAAGGCTACAGCTCCCATGGAAGAGTGCCAACACTGAAACATCCCCCAGGGACTGGGCTCCTCCTACCGAGACCCAAGCAGATCTCGGTGGCTCTGAGCAGACACAAGGGCTGTCCTACCTGCAACAGCACACTCTGTAAGGGGACTGCAGGCTCAGACTGATTATGAGCATTCAGATACCGGCCACATCACCCATGGTCAAGTGGCAACCTTCTGACTCACATTTCCTTACCTTAAAATGGGAATAAAAACAAGCCAGGTGCAATGGCATACACCTGTGATTCCAGTATACTCGGGACGCCAGCGAGGCAGGAGGATCACTGAGTTTGAGGCCAACCTGGACTAGTGACACTTTGTCTCAAAGGGGGTGGCATGGGAGGTCATCCAATGAATAGTAAATGTGATATTACTTAGCTATTCACTACTATTGTGACAAGCATGAGTATTATTCCTTCCAAAAAATCTGCTTTCCTTCATATCACTGATGCAACACTTATTTCCCACAATACAAACTCTTTTTTTGGTGGTGGTCGTGATATTGAACCCGGGGCTTTTTACACTGAGCTACACCCTCAGCCCTTTTTTCTAAGTTTTGTTTTGTGATAGGGGGTTCTTCCTAAACTGCCCTGCTTCCTTTGCCTCCTCGAATGCCAGAATTATCATTTACAAATTTTTGTTAGCAATCGTTCCAGTAATTTAACTTTAGTTCCATAAGATGCTAGTTTTTTTGTTTGTTTGTTTGTTTGTTTGGTACCAGGGATCGAACTCGGGTCCTTGTGCATTCTCTTTTTATCCAACAAAGCATCTCCCAAATAGCTCATCCAGATTGAGTTATATCTGGAGGAAACTAGTACATTTTTTGAACATGCATCACTTAACAAATATCTTTGCCTAAACTAATACCAAAACAGACTTTTTTCATTATTTAACAGTGCTGATCACATCTGACTCAACTCTGCTACAATTTTGCTTCTATGCAGCCCCAATGTGATGAATGACAGCTTAAGAATCTGAAGGACTGCTGGGCTAAGGCACAAGGTCACAGGTGCAAGGCCAGCCTAAACTGCATCCCAAGACCCTATCTTGACAAAAAAATAAAATAAAAGGAAAAAACTAGTTATAAAGAAGTTAATTTAAGGTGATTTTTTTTAACCTGAAAGGATATATGTATTTTTCAACACTACCCCCTGAAATTACAACTGCTCAGTAAAGTTCACCACCATTGCAAAACCTGCAGAAAATATTGACAAAGAAATGTGCAATTTTTTTTGGAGACAGGGTTTCCCTATGTAATTCAGGCTGTCCTGGAACTTACTGTGTAGCCAGGCTGACCTTGAACTTGCAGCAATCCTCCTGCCTCAGCCTGCTGGTGCTGGGATTAGACGTAAGGGTCACAGTGCTCTGCACGGAATGTGCAAATTATATACAAACTTTCAAAAGTGGTTTAAAAAGTACAAGAATCAGGAAGGGAAAGTGACACACCACCTTTGATCAACTCCCTCAGAGGACTTTGACACTTACTGTATGGCTGGCTGGATTTCTCTTTTAATAATCAAAATAACCTAGGAGTATGCCCTTGTCAAAGATGAGAAATTGAGTCTTGGCAGGGTGAAATACTATATAGCAAGGTACCAACTACAAAAAGCCTAGAGTAAAATTAAAATTCCAGGCGGTACAATCCCACACTTCCCCAAGATGCTGCACTTTCAACCCCATACTTGGCCCTCTATGGCCTCAGGTTCTGCATTCAAAGATTCAACCAAGGAGCAAAAAGATTCAGAAACAAAATTTTAACTGTAATGAACATATACCTTCTTCTTTCTTATCACTGTTCCTTAGACAACAGAATATAACCACTACTTACGTAGCATTTAGAGTGTATTAGACAATGTAAATAATCTAGAGGTGATTTAAAAGGTAAGCAAGATGTGCATAATTTGCATGCAAATATAACACCACTGTATACACTGTACTTGAGCATCTGTATATTTTGCTATGTTGTGGGGACGGATACCAAAGGGTGAATACAGCACTATTTTCAATATGCTGGTTAGGACATGTCAGTGGGTTGTTAAATTTTATCATAGACAACATTTTTAATGATTCACCTGTATAACCAAGAATTATTGAAGAGAAAAAAACAAAATAAAGAATTATTGCAGAGGATATGCAATGAGGTGCATGCCTGTGATCCCAGGACTGGGGTGGCTGAGGCAGGGGGAAGGCTAAATTCGAGGCCAGTTGGCTACAATACACAGTGAGTTCAAGGCCAGACTCGACTACATAGTGACACCCTGTTTCAAAAAAACAAACATATAATAATTGCAGAGCATGTAAAGAGAATGTTATCACTTGAATTTTTTATATATGCACATGTATGTACTAGATCACAATGTAAAAGATATTTCTTACCATAAAATGTAATCAAAATGTTGGAAAATCACTGCTAAAATGTACTTGCTGCTTCCCTAGAAATTTATATCATGTAACCTGATGAGTTTTATACCGTATCTGATGCATTACTCATTAGTTTGTGCTGTCTTTTCAAGAGTCTTTCAACCTACACAAAAAGTTCAGTGATATCCTAAGGTTATCCTCAATACCTGGGGAGATCAAGTCGTATCAAACTGGATCTGTCAATCAGTACATAAAAAGGATTTGCAGATACTTATAGGATTACACAGTTTTACTTCTAATTGGCTACTTAATGTGAAAGCAATTCTACACTAACTTTAGGGATGCATAGCCTGGGCACCAGCGAAGACTGACTTAACAGTTACAATAGTTGATGGGACCAGAACTAAGTGTTCTTGTCCTTCACAGGTGCCAAGTTTAAACTCAAAGTTCAATCTAAGGGAAACAACAAAACGCGTATCAGTAGCTAAAGCCTGTGGGCCACACCAGGCTGGTGGTGCAAGTCTATAATCCCAACACTCCAAAGGCTGAGGCAGGAGGATGGCTCAGAGTCTGATGCCAGCCTAGGCTACATTGTGAGACCGTGTCTCAAAAAAATGAAAACAATCACTTTTTAAAGCATGAAAAGAATTTTCATAATTCCTGTTTTTTGGGTTTTTTTGGGGGGGGCATTGAGACAGGGTCTCACTATGTAAATGAGACTGACCTGGAACTCACTATGTAGCCCAGGCTGGCCTGGAACTCACAGTGATCCTCCTGCCTCAGCCTCCCCAGTGCTGGGATTACAGGCTGCGCCACCACACCCGGCCTCCATAATTCCTGTTTTGAAAGGAATTTCAGCAAAGCCTTTAAAGCATACAAAACTACCTGACACATAACAGCATTCATTCAATGAATGAATAGGATTCTTCTTTTTAACCTTTATCCAACAACGAAAGTGAACTTTGGTTAAAATTCTGAAGGGAGTTGTATGGAGTAGAATTAGATTAAGATCCCTCCACAGTCAGCTGGTAGAACTGTCTGCACGTGCCAAGTGACTGGTGCAGGGCCACTTTGGGGTTGACAGTGGGCTGAGACCACCCCCCCATCCACCCCACCCCACCTCCGCCCACGAGTTGACTCTTTGGAGGCCTCACATTGAACTCCACATCCACTGCTAACAATCAACTTTTAAAGGTCAAAGGGGAACCGGTTTCTAACCTTCCCATAACACGTGTTCCACACAAACTTCCGGGTGCAGTTACAACTGGCTGCGCAACTCAAGGTACTAAAAACGTTGCTTTGACTCTCGTTTTCTCGCCCGTTCTTTTCCCACGTTTCTCAACCAGCGACTCCCAAAAACAAAAGCCTCCCACAGTAAACAACGCACTTGAAAAGAGCTTCAACGTGCAAGGATCAAGTTAGTGGTCCGCAAACATTAACCAAACAGAAGCACAAAGCCGATGGAAAGGGGAGGAGCTGGATACCAGGGTCAGGAAAGAAACAATCACAAGGGTTCAGAACATCCAAGTCTCCTCAGCAGTTTAACTGATCCCAAACCACTTATGGGAAACTACCGGCAGGCACTGCTTTGGGGAACTCTGGATGCTCGGGACAGCGAAAACAGTCCGAGGAAGCCAATGCGCCCCCGCCACCCCTGCCACATACACCTACCCTGTGGGTCGGGGAGGCCAGCACGCCTGCTCCGGGCAGAACTAAGCTCATCACCGGGGGAGACAGGAACGTAGCCCCCACGTGTCCCAAGCACTGTCCCCGCCGCGCCAGGAGCGAAGTCCGCGCGCACCCGCCAGTGCGGGGTGCAGACCCAGGACAGACGACTCGACCCCGCCGCCTCCTTCCCTCCCATTTCCCAAGGCTCCGGCAGGAGCGGGACTTGGGAGGATCCCGACTTCACTTTCCCCGCCGGGTCGGGG